CCCTTCAGTTTGAATTCAACCCATTGACCAAAATGTGGCTTTATTCAAGCATGACTGGGAGCCTCTGGAACCCAGTGGCCTTTGAGGATCCCCTCTGGTCTCAGGGCTTCTGCCTGAAGCATCTCTCTGCAGACACTCAGTAGCTTTTAACCACCCTGGAGCCCTTTCCCAAGCCTTGGACCAAATGGTAACAAAGTTTTTTGCAGGGGGAAAAAAAGCGGCTTTGTGCCATAGATAGTTCATTCCAGAAGTGGAGCCTACTGCAGTTTCCCATTTTGATTTTGAGCCCAGGGGAAATATTGAGCTCTCTGGTCTAGTCTTCAGTGGAGAGTTACTCAGGGAGGTTGCCAGAAAGTGGAATCTCTCAGAAACATTGTTTGCTCAAGGATGCTTCTGATGTGATGTGTGTGGCATTTCTCTTTTGTAGCAACTGCTTCCAGTGGAGAAGTTGCCCAAGTACGCCCAGGCAGGATTCGAGGGCTTCAAAACGCTGAATCGGATCCAGAGTAAGCTCTACCGTGCTGCTCTGGAGACAGATGAGAATCTGCTGCTGTGCGCTCCTACTGTAAGCACTGCCTGCCTGCTTTTTTCTTGTGTAATGAATGCAGTGTATATTTTAGGGGGCAAGATTGTTCATCGCCACCCATACCCCCTAATTATTTACTCTTTGACAGAAAAGATGTTCAAGGGTAGGATAAAATGCTCAGGACATGGTCTGTTTCGGTGATGAGCCCATGGAAGTTGGGGCAGTGAGCATAACGAGGTACTCAGGCCTTCTTGTCCTTGACCTCCCTTAGGGTGCCGGGAAGACCAACGTGGCCCTGATGTGTATGCTCCGAGAGATAGGGAAACACATTAACATGGATGGCACCATCAACGTGGATGACTTCAAGATTATCTACATCGCTCCCATGCGGTCTTTGGTACAGGAGATGGTGGGCAGTTTCGGAAAGGTAAGAGGGTAGAACTTTTGCCCAGAAGATACTGGGTGCAGCTGTCAGAGTACTGGGAACAGGCATGGTGCTTCTCTGCCTCTTGTGTTAGGGCATTTCTGGAATGGTTCATGTGGTCTTTTTTTTTCTCCTTCAAAGATGGAACTTGTCCCAAGTACAGAGTGATTCTGAAACAAGAAAGTCCTGGATTTGTCTTGAGCTTTTATAAGGGTTTACCATCTTTTTGTCCTCTCCGTAGCCATTTTCTGGATTGGTATCG